TATATATATATATATATAAATTATAATAGCGTGAAGCACGTGTTTATCATGAATTATGCTAGTTCAAATGGCTTTGTTTTCTTTAACCTTCCTGGCTGGTTCTTGTTCTTTAAAAGTTGAATGCTTCTTCATCAGCATATTTGTATAGTAACGTGTGTTCGTGTTCGTAACTTCGTGTTCGGCAGTGAAACCCGAAACATGAAATTCTAAGATAATTACTTCACTTCAGACACAAGGGATCTCAAGATCACGATGTAGGCTAGAAATGTGACGAAGGTTGTTTCGAGTAGGTTTCTTTTTCCCTTTGGCCTTTACCTTAGTTTCCTGTACAAATGTTTTCTCTTATTTACCATCCTTTTGTTTGTTTCTTACTCGTCTCATATATTCTTGTATGATGGTTTTCTTTCTCATTCAAATTTTTGAGGGCGGGATACATGCCAGATCTTCGGACAATTTTTATCCAAGTTGACGAGCACGTGATGAAATATTTCATTTTACTGTTTCTACCTCTTATTTTCTTTTGTCTTTAGTTGATACTTGATTTTTATTGCCTTCCTTCATTAGTAAAATTATTTTTGCCCTAATGTTTTCCTCTACTTTTTCTTACCCTTCCCTTGTTTAAACAGTATAGTTAAAATGTCAATTTATGAACTTAATTTAATGATAAAGAATCCCATTATGAACCGCGATTCAGTTCCTCTGACCGGCTTGTCCCAGGGTTTGCGTTTCGCATGTGGCACAATTTTCGACAATAGCTACAGAGGTAGATCGAACAGTTAACAGTCTAAAAGAGAATTCTTGCGGCCTGCTTCTCTGATACTTTTTTCGCGGTTTTTCCGATCAAAACCAGGAGAATGCGGAAGCACTAACATAACAAGCCGGCCACGAACCGCGTGCAATCATAACTTAGTCATCCTTGACCTATATTCACCCCTTCCTTACACTCACATTTGCATGCCCTACTATTCCACGCATGTCGGGTGACTTGTCGGGAGCTTAAAGCTTGTCCCGGCTGGGCGGTACTCCGACGGTGAAGAACCTGATTTGGTAAAACCCCACAGTCCAACGTATAGGTCGGAGACAGATCTCTTCATGTAGCGGTAGAATATTATCGCCACCTCCCGTTATAAAAACACACAGTACAATTACGGGAATAATGACCATATCAGTTGACACATCCGGAAACACAAAATAATCAATCAATGAGCCGCAAGCGGTGATGCGTTGCGATGTAGACGTTCCCTGTCCCAATGAAAACATTAAAACATATCCGCACATCCAAACGGCTAAACAACCACAAATTTCTTATAATATTTTAAAACATAAAAATGTTTTCCATGTATCCGGGTGTATTTCAAAATTTTATAACCATCCTTGGAAGTCCAATCCAAAATTCGTACAGTTACATTACGTTCCATGGAAATATTTGCCATAGAAGTTGGAAACGTCTGTGAACCACATGTTGTAATACGTTGAGTGTTACGTTCTGTTAACCGCATATGGCCCACAGGACAGTGGACGTGTTAAAGCGCCCCATTGGCTAGATGGAGCCCTCCAGGGGTCCTCGTCGCAGCGGAGCAGGGAGCTGCTGAAAGTCGCCGCCGCGCAAAGGAGCGCGTGGCGTGGGCGTGGGGGGAGGGGGGCGGATGGTGAAGGTGGCAGGTCATCCGGAGGGATCCAGTGGCCGGGCGCCTTCCGCCGCCCCCCC